GTGGTAGTCGTGGTAGTCGTGGTAGTCGTGGTAGTCGTGGTAGTCGTAGTGGTAGTCGTAGTCGTAGTCGTAGTAATAGTAGCAGTAGTAGTCGTAGTCGTAGTGGTAGTAGTAGTAGTAGTAGAAGTAGTAGTAGTAGTAGTAGTAGTAGTACTAGTAGTACTAGTAGCAGTCGTCGTCGTACCAGCTGTTTCGTGCGGTTTGACTTTCAATTTTTGCGAGCCCATTGGAAGCAGAGTCAGCCTGGGAGGCTCATGTCAAGCCGCTTAGATAGTCCCTCCTTGAAGCTGCCGGATGCCCAGTTCCGTGAAGACTGGACACGCAAGTTTCAATCTGTCCAGTTTTTGAGGACAATACATGTTTCAAGATGCTCCTGAGCGTTTGCACGTCCCAGAGCCACATGAGCTATGCTGTTTGCAAGGCACAGTACTTAGGTGGTATGGCCCCTGCAACTGTACACATTGAGTACCACCAAGTACACTTCCGGAAAGTGTGCTGTGCAGGTGTAGGTTGCTCGAACGGTGAACAAAAGGAATATCAGGGGTTTGTAGTAAAGTCCTCTAAGACCAAAAATAGTACTCTGAGAGGTGCAAAATTTGGTCTTGAGGAGAGACTTCGTTTTAACTGTTCAAAACCTTTGTGATTCGATGGTGCTTATGCTCGCTTTTGCTTCAATCATGCTATCACCGATGCAAACAAAACGTGTTTGCCTGAGTATGCAAAGCTGTACATGGGCTTTGTGCTGCCAGGCAAGAGCTGTTGCCCAACAATGGCTACATGGAGAAGGACTGCGCCAGCCTACCTCAAATCTAGACAGTTGTGAAAGTATCGAACGTAAGATGACAACTTGTCACCAAAAGGCTGCATCAGACTTTCAGCTCTCAGCGGTGGCCTCCAACCTGATAGCAATCAAAGAAAGGCAAAGCCTCTCCAAGCTCCTTTGATAAGGCTTGCCAGGGAGTTTCAATATTTGAAGTATGTCACGGCATTTTAACTGACGGCTTTGTTCGGTGGAGATTGTCCTGCAGGATGTCACCGCTCTCCTACCGGACTTCCTCGCCAATGAGTGGCGGAATAACGATTGGAGAGGCTCGAAAGACCTCTTCGGAGACCTTTTTTCTCGGGAACTGAAGGCTCTTTGCTTCGAAAGACCAATTGAATTGTTTGAAAGCACAGAAATTTCTCCAGCCAGAAAGTGTCAACTTGACACACTGACTTGAAAGCCAAAGTCTGTAGGTGTCGAGAAACGAGGTGACACGCCAGATCCTCTGGCACCGCCTGGAGCCGAAAAACACATGAAAACGCATATCACCCAAGCAAGACGGCAATTTTTGGTTTCCTTGGCATCCTTTTCTCCGAGAGCATCATTCTTCAGGCCTCATTCCTACTCCACAGGGCTCAGAACTCAGGGTGAGGTCAGAGCTGTTGAAGATTTGGTTTTCGTCGATTTCAGACTCAGCTCGCCAATTCAAGGCTACCACCTCCAATACAGCCACAGACTCAGACTTGTAACTTCTATATGATTCTTTCTCTCTCTACATACATACATACATACATACATACATACATGCATCCATACATACATACATACATACATACATACATACATACATACATACAT